GGGGAGGGATTTCTTTACTAGAAAGATGCGGGTGTGCAGCATGTCCTCAGGAACTGAGATCCCTGTGCAGTGAACTTCCTGGATCCAACTGACCGCTGTGTCATGGAAGGAGCAGCAGCAGAAGCAGAAGCCAGAGCATGGAAGTGATGATGGGCATCACAGCCCATTAAGTTAAAATGAGGACCTTTGACAAGAGAGCGCCTCTGCACTAATTCAGGGAGCGAGGTTTGTTCAGCCACAGAATTTGGGCTGAAGGCTTCAGGTTGAGGCTTACAGCAGAATGCTATGCGTCTTTGAGCAGTTAACAGGTCTGAAACTTTGTAAAATGTCCTGATGAACTACTAGGGTTATTTCTCACTGACATTGCAACTTGTTAAAATTCTTACTAAACCCTTAAAGCATGATTTTTTTTCTAAGTTCTGAGTTTCCATTTCTACATTGGATATTAAAACCCAAAGAATTAAAATAGAAAACATTATGTCAGCATATCATCTATACATTGTTGAAAGTCGTTAGTATTTCTTCCTCGAATCCTAATGCCACACGCTTCTTCACATAGCACAGATTGTCATGTTATTTGTTGAACATACATTGAATAAATTTAATAAAAGGATACAACCACACTACATAATTTTCCTGATTATAAGCCACACAATATTTCTTTGTTCTTTTGAATGACTGCCTCTTGGTCTATGTACAGGTTCTGTATAAGCACAAGAAGGATTCTGGTATTCCAGTTATTCTCAGTGCTACCCATAGTTTGCTATGATCCACAGCGTTGAGTGCCTTTATATAGTCAATAAAATATAAACAAACACCCTTCTGATATTCTGTGCTTTCAGTGAAGGTCCATCTGAGCTCAGCAATAATATCCTTTGTACCCCGTCCTCTTCTGTATCTGGCTTGAATTTAAATCAGTTCCTTGTACATATACCACTACAACTGTTGTTGAATTAATAATTTCTGCCTCGGGGTTGCTGAGGATTTACTGAAATGATGTCATTGAATCGTGTGGATGGTTGGATACTTGGCATATAGCTAGTTTCTAGTAAATGTTAAAATTAAATAAACCAAAAATGGCAAAATTAAAGGAAACACAAAGTCAGTATGGGATCCATCTTGAACAATTATGATTACTTAGTTTTATCAGGAGCTCAGTTGATAATTTAAGTAACAAATGATATATAATACAGAAATGTGAAATTCAACAAATTAATTAATGTCTTTGAGCCTTGGTGTCTGCAGGATAAAAGTAGGGCTAGTATGAGATAATGCTTAGATTACTTTGAGGATAAAAGAGTGTCATATACCAGAATGGCTAGTGCAGTAGATAACACAGAATATGTGCTCAGAATGTTAAAAAAAAATCAAGCAAAATAAAAAGAAACAAAAGTTGAAATAAAAGGAAAGACGACTACATTCAGAGAATCGTCAGGGAAGTCACTATCTTTTCCATTTTGCAGTTGCAAAAGCAGAGACAGGATGAACAGTATCAACCTTATATCCAGCATTGTACAATCTTAAGCTTTGTTCCAAATATGGAATTAGGGTCGAGTCCTCATGACACAGGTCTAGGCTTTCTAATGCTAAATTCTACAGTGGCTCTTTACCAAATGCATATCCTATGAGGCATGAAACCCTAGCTTCTCTGCTGAGGGCATATCAGCATTTTTATATTCTATGCACACAGCATCACTGGACTCGCAAATACCATGCTGCCTTTCCAGAATGTGCTCTCAGACTTTGTAGAGAGTCCAATAACTCCCAGGCTGCCAGATACTCCCCAGAAGAGTAAGGAATCCAATTGAATAAAGACAGTAGAAAAATAAAGAATATCACATGGGCTTTCATAGCTGAGATGGCAGGGTCTGAATGCAGATTTCCATGGGTAGGACCCTGGGTCTACCATGACCTTGGGCATATCACTTCAATGTTATAAGTACTGGTTTTATTTTCTGTAATGCAAAGATGATAATAATCCACAGCACTTAAAACTGTTACAAAGATTAAATGGCAAAATGCACATAGCACTCTCTGCAGAGTGGTTGGAATAAAGTGGACACCCCATAAATGTTAATGACATATTATCCCAAGAACTCTGACCTAGAGCCTTCATTTTTATGCAGCTGCAGACATATGGTTCCTGGATTATGTCTTTCCATGGAATGACGGCCTGCATTTAGCAAAAATAGACAATAATATTCATCACAATGTTTTGTTTTTAACTCTTTCCATTAAATTATTTGTTTATATACCTTACAAATTATACTTGATACCCCAGGCCATTTCCATCCTAATTTCTTTCCTGACTTATCACCGCACAAATTAAGCTTGCCCCTTTTGAAATTATTTTAAATGACTATATATATATATATATCTCCTGAATTTTCTCTCGATTAAAATTTCTTATATTCTTATATATTCATTAATATGTTATATATCATACCCATACCCATCTCTGTTGTCATATAGTATTCCATTATGGGAAGGAACCACAGTTAATTTCGCATTTTACTTTGATGGAAACTTGGATAGTTTCCAACTTCAGGCTATTTTTACCCAGCATTTCAGAGCTTGACAACTAGCGAAAAGGTTAGTAGGACAATTCTACCCTCAGATGACAGGTCTGGAGGTCTGCTTCCTCAAGGTCACATCCTTGAAAATGCTACAGAGCCATTCCTCTCTGCACCCAGGGGCCATCATGAGTCAACATTGGCTGGCTAGAACCAACAGCAGAAGTAAGAGCTGTTTGTATATCCATTCTAGTATGTGATCGTTGACTGTTAGTGGACACGCATGCATTACTATAAAATATATGTGTAGGGGTATCTTGCTGAGTAGATGTTATGTATATGTTTAGCTTTAATAGATTCCATCAGTTTTCAAAGTAATTGTACCAAAGTACACTCCTGTCAGTAGTATCTAAAGGTTCTTTTTTATCCACACCCGGTGTTCCATCGTGTTTGTTTGTTTTTTATCCCAGTTATTCTGGTGGGTGTTTGGTGATTTAGTACTGGTTTTTTTATTCACATTCACAGTCTCTGATAAAGAATGAAGTAAGCACTGTTTCGTATGTTTCACTAGCTATTTATGTATATTTTGAGTGTGTGAAATACCCAGGTCTCTTGTCTATTGCCCTATTGAGTTATCTAGCTTTTCTCTCTGTCTGTGTGTATGTATATGTGTGTGTATATATATATATATATACATACATACACACACGTTCTTTGTCCAATGCATGTATCTGTATTACAAAATCTATTTTACATTTTTACATTCTGAGGTTTGGGGGGTTGGTTATTTTTTTTGCTTTCATGATAAGCATATATTTTTCATAACATTATATTTTGATTTTTTAAACATTTAAACTTTGTATTATGAGTCCTGATACCTTTATTAAAAATCACCTCAATCTCTTAACAAATAATAGAACCGTGATGTGCAAACAGTAGCCCATTAATGAATGACTGTGGAGTTGATTCCCCTCACTGCGACCCCACAGCACTGACAGGAACGGTGGTTCAGTACTTTCAAGGCTGTAGAGCTTGTGAAAGCAGATGATCACAACCTTCTTCACCTGAGCTAGTGGTTCAAAAGCTCAACCAGTCTACTATTACAGCAGTGGTTCTCAACCTTCCTAATGCTGTGACCCTTTACTACAGTTCCACAGGTTGTGGTGACCCCCAACTCTAAAATTATTTTTGTTGCTACTTCATAACTGTAATTTTGCTGCTATTATGGATTGGGCAACCCCTGTGAAAGGGTAGTTCAACTCCCAAAGGGGTCACGGCCCACAGGTTGAGAACTGCTGTACTAGATGAAGAGGTATCTTAAATGCTTTCAGACCACGTCTATGCTCCTGTTTGATCTTCTGTAGGTCAGAGATCATCTGTGTTCCCTAAAGTTATCTAAAGTCACTTTGGTTTTCTCATTCCTTCCAAAATTATGCTAAGATCACAATGTTGCAGGGACAGTGAATTATGTCATGTGGCTCCTCTAGCCAAAGTCTCTTTTAATGATTTAAGGCCCTTTTTTCTGCATGGGTCTAGTAAGAAGTTGGGGAAGATACTGATAGGATTCGTCCATGAATAATTACAAAGAGGATTCGGAGTGCTATCTTGCTGTGTATAAAATGAGTCCTCTGAGAAGCAAGAGGAGGGGTTTCACTACGAGATAAAAGTGGAGTGAATGTTCTGGAACAGAAAAGCATGCACAGTCAGCTTCCTAGAACCAAAATATAGTATACCATCGGAGAAACAGCAGCCTAACCAGGAGCCAAAGCATTGAACAGAATGATGGACTTTTCAACCCATAGAGCAAGTATAAATAAGTGCTTTGGTGCAGGAGGCTGGCTTGTGGAGTGGAGGCCCCTGTGCACTTAATTGGAGAAACTGGGCTTGTTGACACATGGGGATAGAGCTGAGTGCCTTTGGGCTGAAGCAATTGGAGTGGGGTGCCTCTGTGCCCTTCAGTCAGGAAGATGGGTTGCTGACCCTGGGGCTTGGGTGGAATGCCTTCAGGTTAAGACTTCCTGAGGGGTGGCATGCCCCTTTGGCATTTATTAGCCAACCTAAAAGTCTTTTGTGACATGTTCTGATAAACAACTCAACAATGAGAATTTCTCACTGAAATTACAACTTATTTTCCTGAATTAATTCTAGCCTCAATCTAAGAACATTTGATTCTCACAACATGGCTCTCCATGATGCCTACTTTCATGAAGACATGGGTGCTATAACAAAGTGTGATGGAAAAGCTAGATGGTGCTCAGCTATCAGAAAGATAGTTGGTGTCTGGTCTCTTAAAAGCTTGCCTTCAAACAAGCAGACATCCAAATGGTATATCAATCAAGTCCACGTGGAAAAAGCACATCAGCCTTATGATCCAAGGACTGTAAGTAACAAATTCCACATCCAAAAGAGAACATGGTATCAGAGCTTAAATTGTGAACACTGGTTTGCAGAAGGTTGGGGAATCTCAAAATCTATTTGCAGAGTCCCCACATGGATTAAAGCTCCAGTGAATTTCTTCTGATGCATATAGGCTTGCTATCAGACAACGAGCATTGTACAGTGATCATAGCAGGTGTATGCAGGTAAATATGCCATACCTTATCATTTAATATCTCTTTTGACCAATTTTGAAGTTGTTTCCATTTTTAATATTGTATGCTTTCATTTTGAGTGAGATATTTCTGTTTTGTCTACCTCTTCTTGTGGAGGGTTTTCGCTTATTTGTTTGCTTCCTGCATGTGTTTCATATGATGTTCTGTGTAATTGCCGAATGGCATGGTAAGGGAAGAGGGGAGAAAGCAGAGCTAAGAACAATGAGTTCAAGAATAAAATGTGCTGAAATTGATTGTAGTGACGATTTCAAAATTTTAACATAATCAGATGATTCAATAGTATAATATATGAAGTATATTGCAATATATTATAAGGAAATATGATAAATATAAAGAAAACATTTAAAATTAACATTTTAATGCTTTTTCTGTGAGTTCTGTATAGCCATTGTGATGGCTATTAGATCCCAGAGGGGTAAAATAGAGAACACTAATTGAGACTATACGCATATATAAGAGCATCATTAGCATTAGAAGAAAAAATACTACAAGTAAATAATTTAAGATGGACATAGGACAGAAACAAGGTAATTTGTAGAGAGAACCATTCTTTTGGGAACATTTGAGTTATCTAAATGTAATTGGGATTAAGTAGCACATGCAGAAACTTGACTTCTCCTATAAAATAAATTGATACTAGTGTAGCTCATTCATTAATTATTTACCTATTGTTTTGCATTGTGCTGTTCTGATAGCTTTCCCTATATTTATTTGACTTCTCATTGTATTTGTGTTTCCAAAGGAAGAATTAACACCTAGAGGTCTAGACAATCTTCTACCACATCTTACTATCGTAAAACAGGCATAATCTCTTCTTCCAAGGATTTCAAAGTTGAGCAGGTGAGATATTTTGGAACCTGACCAATAAGGTTGTGGCTTTTTCCAAAGTAGCGTCTTCCACAGTTTTCTGGTAGCACAGAGTTCTTAAGGGCTTGAATGTGAACATTCTTGCAATATGAGGCACTTTGAGCTAAGTTTGGGAAAAATGAAGACTTCTTCAGATACAGAAGAAAGAAAATGGTAATTTGTTCAATATTATTGTTTTCAAAGCACCCAAACACTCAGTCATTATCAATAAAACTGGTGTTCCTGGACTCACATCCATCATAATTCACTACAGGACATGAGGATGTGAATGATTTCTGTAACCACACATTGTTCATGAGAAGGACACCCATTATTTAGATAAAACCAGAGAAAGTAATGTCTAGCTTATTTCAGTTTGGTATATAATGATTGTGGTATGTCTGAGAAATCCTCAAGGTAAAGAGTACATAGAACATTCTTAATAAGGCAGCAAGCAGGCCTGCAATCAACATCTGAGGTGAGAAGTTAAGCTCCCAAAATAATCACCTGTGTGCTGACTTATCCCACTCTTCAGGGAATAGCTCCACAAAATTTGTTCAGAATGCTGAAAACTACCATTTGTATGTCATCTCTAAGCCCTTGGGTTTTATCATCTTTAAAAAATTATGTGAGAACCCCACATATGCACAAACATTTCAGTAAATACACATGCAGATACATACTGAGTCTCTCAAACACCCAAACCCACACTTGGCAGGGTTGGGAAACCTGTTTTTGGTCACGAGCCATTTGGATATTTATAAATAGCATTTTCAGGACATACTGGTCAAACATTTAATTAAGTCACCTCTAAGCGATGGCTGGACTGGCTTCTCTTTGGCAAGGCATGCAATGTTAGTTGGTATTGATGATTTTGGGGGGCTTATAGAGCTTTGGCTGGATGTTCTCAACCCCAGTTTTAGAGCTGAAAACTTTCACTTGGATTTAATCCCTAAACCGTTGGATTTCTCATGTTTGAAAAAAAATATTAGAACACCACCTATACAAAAGCACTTCAATACTATCCAAGAGATAGATATATATTGGGTAGTATACATACACAATGCAATTCACATGTGAAGTGTTAAATGTTCAATTTTGGGGGGCTATCAATTAAAAAACACACACCGGTGGTATCTATTTCAGTAACATTAACCAGTGTGTTCAAAATTATCATTTTACTATATAGTTAAAATGTACAAATTATTCATGAGAATAGTTTACTTTTTCTGGAGCAGTACAAATAAAGTGTTTGTCTTATAGCACATGTCAATATGAATGAGGCACAGTGAAAACACTTAACCACATGTGACCTGGACTATCAGAATGAAGAGTACAAAGCACTTTTTATGAATTGACAATGAGTTTTAAATGTTTTAGAAATACTTCCATACTATCTTTGTTTTAATAACATTTTATTAAAATAATTTTAGAATTACAGAAAATTTACAAAGATGATGGAGTTACTATATACTCTGTATTCACTTTCTCCTATTTTAAAACCAGAATTAATCCCACTGCCAGTGGGTCAATTCTGACTCAACAAAGTCGAACTGCTCCACAGGGTTTCCCTAGCTGAACATCTCTATAAAAGGATAGTCTTTGTGTGGCTACTGGGTTTGAACTGCCAGCCTTGCTGTTAGTAGTCCAACAGGGAATGCACTGCGCCCATCAGGGCTACTCTTTTCCCTATTATGAACACATGTAGGTTTGTCACAATTAACAAACCAATATTGCTGATTAACAAACAATTGTGAACAAGCCTCCATATCTTATCCAGGATTCATCAGTAATGTTTTGGTATTTTTAAGACACATTTTTGGTTCCAGAATACATTATATAACCATATTATATTTACTTGTCATGCTTCTTTATCTCTCTGAATTTTGTGACAGTTTCTCATTTTTTAAATACTTTGATAGTCTTCAGGATTATAAGTCATATGTTTCATAGACTGATCCACAAATTAGTGTTATCACATGTTATTGTACTCCTTCTAGACCTAACTCTTGTTTGGCTGAAAATCTGATTTTTCAGAAGGACACTCATGCATAATGATTGTCCTTGCTCACATACCGGGTATTTCTACAATTAGCTTTGGCATTTTATATTGGAGAATAGTGTTAGAACCAAGATATAGGTGTTACATCATATTTTATTTTGATAAAAGAATTCTGTCCTCATATAGAAATGTATAAACTTTTATAAAATTTGATGATTTTAATGCTGCAGGTAGAGCTTTTTGACCTGATAACACTCAGAGTTGGTGAACTCCATCCACAATTTTTGCACCAAATATAGGCTAGTCTATTTTCACTGGTACCCGTCTTTATTGATGTGAAGTTGTTCAATATGGTATTTATAGGGCTGTACTAAGACTTAGTTCAGCGGTTCTCAACAAGTGGGTCACAACCCCTTTGGGGGTTGAATGACCCTTTAACAGGAGTCATCCAATTCATAACAGTAGCAGAATTACAGTTATAAAGTAGCAACAAAAATAATTTTATGGTTAGCGGTCACCACAACATGAGGAACTGTATTAAAGGGTCATGGCATTAGGAAGGTTGAGAACCACTGATTTAGTTAAAGGTGAAACTAGAGCAGTCAGATTGAAAAAAATTGGAAAATGAGGAGTTTCATAAAGCAGACTTTCATTAATATGTAGCCTCACAAATGGATCTATCATTGTGTAGTTTGGATTTGTTAAAATGTTTCCTTTCAATATGAAAAGAAGACTTGGCTAAGAAGACCTATGCAAACTGACCACTTCTATGCAGTTATATTCGCAATGTACAGGGCTAGTTAATCTGTAGTTTGATGTCATTCAATCATTAAGACAGTCACATACATCGATTCGACTACTATGATTTCGACTTCACAGTTGAGAAAACTGAACATGAGAAATTCACTGGCCCTTACACCCAAGTACTCCAAAGTTAGATGTTCAAACCCACCAGGCATTCAGAAAAAAGCCGAGGCTGTCTGCTCCTGTAATGAATTACAGATTCTTTTGAAACTTGGCTCAGTAAATGTAATCTCCATAACCATAACTGAAATGTTCAAGCCAAACTTGTGCGAACTTGGGAGACTCAAAACCAAAGCCAAACTCACTGCCTTCAATTGATTTGGACTTATCGTGACCCTGTGAGACAGTCGAGGACTTTGGTGGGGCTTCTGAGGCTGACTTTTTATGGGAGTTGAAAGCCTCATCTTTCTCCCACAGAGCAGCTGGCTGATGGTTTTGAACTGCTGACCTTGTGGTTAGCAGCTGAATATGTAAGCACTACACCACCGGATGCATTTCTTATGAACTTTTTGAGAACATTTTCTCAATGAGAAAATAAAATCAAGTTATAAAAGCAAATGTACATTTTCTCAATGAGAAAATGTACATTTGCTTTTATAACTTGATTTTATGCTTTAGCACATTTATTCTAATTGTAGTAAATACAGATAGATAACATTTTCCATCTTCGCATTCTTGCAATATATAATATGTACATACTACAATATGCAATACGTGCAAGTCAGTGACATTAATTTTGTTCCTCTATTGTCTTAGCTTCCTAGTATTAAACCCACACCAAAGTCACTCCCATGGATTCACTGCTGACTCAAAGAGCCCCCGTGGGTTTCTGGGACTATAACCATTTAAGGGAGTGGAAAGCCCAGTCTTTCTCCCACTGAGCTGCTGGTGGTTTCAAACGGTTGACCATGCGGATCGCAGTACAACCAGTACAACGCACAACCATCACACCAGAGCTCCTTCACCACAGTGAAAATAGAACAAGTGACGGCATTTATGGTACAAAACATCATTTTCTCACAGTTCTGTACACGAGGCATACAAATTCAGAGTGTCGACTTGAAGAAAAGACCTTTTTTTACTCATTCCACTTCTAAGAATTGCAAACCACTCCTGGTGCTCCCAGGTTTGAAGAGGCATCTGTCCCCATTGTCACGTGGTATATGTCTTGCACCTGTGTGTCTTTCTGTATATGTTTTCCCTTTTTGTAATATCCCACTCAAGATGGTTTAGGTTTCAGGTTCGTCCTACAGATGAATTACCTCATGAACATAACACAAAGAAAAGAAGGAAGGGGGAAATATTATTTGCAAACATGGCCAGATTGTAGATATGGGCATGAGGGTTTCTACTTATTTTTCTGGTAGACATAATCCAATCTATAACCGTGTGCCCATTGCTACTCCCAAATCCACTTTAATCCCTAAGGTATATTCATTGTTACTGTCAGCGGCATGAACAACGGAAACATCTATCCTTTTCATACCTTATTCTTTCTGGCCTGCATATTGATTGTATGGTGTGCAAAGGCTTATTAGCTAACAATTGATAGTGCATAGTACTTATTCACTGGATTAATTGAATTAACCCTAATAAAGAGGAATTCATCATCTTTAGGTCCAGTTTTACTCCCTTTTTTCCTTGCCTGTGAAGTTATTTTACAATAGGCCTACAGCACTCTTCACTCACGTTTTGGGGCATAATCTAAATAAGCAGTCTCCAGACCCTTCTAAATCACAGTAAAGTGGGTGAATGATAAGTCTATTATTAAAGTTTTGATTAGTACTATTAGCCAAAGCCCAAAGTGGTTTTTTATTTTTTCAACAGTTTTTAAAAAAGGAAATTTCACATACATTTCTGTGCAGTTGCCACAAAATGAATGACTGACATTTCAGATTGTCAGAATGTCAACCCCTTCAGAGTCTACAAAACAGGGTAGAGTACGGAGGAGGAGAACTGCTTTACCTGCCTCCAGGGAGACTACTAAATTCAAAGCTTAGCCTATCCTTTGCCAACTTATTTTTATCAAATATTGGCTTTCTGCTAAGAAATAGCCTAATGAGGGTGAGTGAAACCCTAGACGTTGTTGTTGAACCAACACTGTATGTAGATGTGACACTGTATGTTGTTGAACCAACACTGTATGTAGAAGGCATGCAAAAGAGTGAAACACCATTCTAATCACTTTCAACCTGCACAACTTTAGGAATAAGCCTCTACTCTGGCCTGTTGCTTTCGAAAAAAGAAACATGCATAAGTGGTACAGCACACTTCAGCCACCTGAAGGTTCAGTCTCTTTGACTTCCCTTAAGAACCACGGAAAGAGGCTCAGGCCTTAAGTAACATCTGGTCCACATGACAATTGAGTAAAATCCTGAACACTACTGATTATACTTGTCATCACCATTAGGCTTTGAAATAGGATTTAGCTCCAGGTGGAGAAAGACATGTGTAGTAAAAAGAGAAATTGGCTTTGAAGTCAGATAGGGCAAGTTTCTGTTGCCATATGGTTGCTCAGCCAATCTCTGCCTGGTTCTGGGAGCCAGGAAACCCTCTTGCTACTCCGCTTCAGTCTGGAGCTCTTCGGTCCCTGCCACAGCCTCTGGGGCATGTGGCGGTGTGGCCACTCTAAACAAAGATCTTTTCTGTGATTTTCGGGTGGTTGTTATTTCTTGAGCCCTGGCTTCTCTCTCTAATCCTGCTTCTGAGATGGCCTTCATACACACAGGGGAATGCTAACCCAAACTGGCCAATACCCTCCACTAGTGTTTCACATACATCTTTTGCATGGTCCTTCCCAATCATTTGATGGGAATCATGAAGACATGAGTAGATGATACTAAAATATTGATTTCACTTCACCACAAGAATCTAACTTGTAACTAGGCCATGTGTCTCACAGAGTTAAAATAACTACTTGGAATTGTGGGTAGGTCTGAAGAGCTGTCCATTAAAAGTTAAGGTACGGGAGAGTTCAACAAAGCCTGGAACTGACATTTGGACTTTACCATTCTGGGACTGACATGCTTCCAAAATGAGAGCATCCCTTTAGACGGAGTTTAAAGCTGTTTCAGTTCAAAATAAACAAACAAAAGGAAGGGGAAATACACATATATTAAGCCTGAGAGGAATCCACTCGACCACGGATCTGAATAGCCTTGTGAACCTGCAGAAAGCCTTAGAAGTGACTGCTACGGATGCAGGTAGGTTAAAGTTTAGCATGCTATAATTTGATCTGCCTTATGATCCACGTAAGTTTGTTCTAGTTTTTAATACTTTCTGCTTCCTTTTCAACTGAGGCTTTTATCTGTTTTACTCTGTTATTCTTGTTAGCTTTTTGTTGGTGCTTGATTGCTCATTTCTTAATATCTTTCTACTAAATCCAGGATAGGTACTTATGTAAAGATAGTAACTGGACTAATGGTTCCTTGAAGACGTATCTGGAAAGATTGGGTGAAAATGGGGAGCTAATTATGATGAGCACAAGATTGAATAAAATGCTCTAAAACTGATTGTGGTGATGATTGTACAACTTTTCTTGTTGTGATTGAAATATTGAATGATATGTTATGTGAAATATAGGCCGATAAAACTGTTGGAAAAAATGAATACCCGAAAAAAGTAAATCTTTAAATAAATTTATATTTAATCCAAGGCTCCCCTCCCCCCATGCACACACACACACACACACACACACACACACACACAAAACCGGGAACATCTTCCAAATTCCCAGTTCATCTTTATCCTGTATTTCCTTAATAAGACCATTCAATCACCACACACTCTGTAGAACACAAGCATAAAACTTGATGAATTTCTTCTTAGATATTGACATTTTAGTGAATATCACATATAATTAACCTCTCCTATAATTCTCTATATTACAGCTCTGAAGTTTACAGTGTATATCCCTGTAATTACTTCTATATGTAATTACATTTACATAATATACACATGATTTTATTTACATAATATCTTAGGTGATGATTCATTTTCAGACACTCTTTAGATGCCCCAAAACAGGATACACTGAAGCTATATTTATTTTTACATCAAATGCTGGGGAAAAATAAATAAATATATACATATATATGCTGGCCTGTCACAGTGAGGTTAGTATATATAAATTTGGGAATCGATATTTAAGTAGGTGCAAGTATAATTAAATAGAATTTAAAAATGTATAGTCTTGTCAGAGTGACAAGCCATTGTTTCTATGTAAGGCCAGAGAGAGAGATATTGCTTTCCAAGTATAAAAAGCATCAGTGCGTTTCATAACACAGCATATAACCAAATACATAGATACATGCCCTGCTGTTGGTTGGTGCCTTTGAGTTATCTCTGACTCATAACAACCCTAAGAGGGTCAAACGCAGTGCCCTATGAGGGCATGGCAGAATGCAACCCTGCCCAGTCTGGACCATCCTCACACCTGTTAAGCTGCAACCCACTGCTGCAGTCACTACGTGAAATCATCTTGTTGAGGTCTTCCTATTTTCCATTGACTTTCTGAGCATGATGTCCTTCTCTGGGGACTGGCAATATCCCAATAACTTGCCCAAGGTACAGTACATAAAAGGAAGTCTCATCATCCTCATTTCTTATTTCTCAGAAATAGTCGACCATAACTTCATCCACGACAGATATGTTTGTAGATTCCCACTCAAACTAAGTCATGTGCCCATAAATGCTTAACATAAATAATTAAATCCTTTCTCTCCATCATATCTGGGTTCAACTCTTTGCTCTTTAATTTCCAGTGGACAATCTTAGAAATTATATTTAATCTTTTTGATCTTTAACACTTTGTTGACAGAGTTGAAATAGTGATACAAGTATGTATTGTACACTTGTTATAAACATTAAATAATGTAATTAATCTCAATTAAAGCATGAATATTATACAGTATGTGTTATGAGCTGAATTGTGTCTTTTCCAAAAGATGCTTAAGTTCCATCTTCCATATCTGTGAATATGAATATACTGGGAACTTGGATCTTTGCAGATGTACTTATTAAATTGAGATGAGGTCTTACTGCAATTGTGTGAACTCTAATCCAATATTCTTGGTGTTCTTATAAAAACAAAATCCAGGCACAGAGACTCAAAAGGAAGATGGCCATATCAAGCATGAATATTGTGGCAGAGATCGGAGTAATGCTGTCACAAACTAAAGATTGCCTCAAGCTAAAAGAAGTTGAAAAAATAAAACAAACAAGAAAGGACTTCCTGTTAGAGCAGTGGTTCTCAACCGGTGGGTCATGACCCCTCTGGGGGGGTTGAATGGTCGTTTCACAGGGGTCACCCAATTCATAACAGTAGCAAAATGACAGTGATGAATTATCAATGAAAATAACATTATGGTTGGGGGGTCACGGCAACATGAGGAACCGTATTAAAGGGTGGCAGCATTAGGAAGGTTGAGAACCAGTGTTAGACCCTTCAGATAGAACATGGCCTTCCTAATACCTGAAATTGTATTTCAAACCTGTGCAACTCTACAATCTAAGTTGTTTTAAGCTGACCAATTTGTAGTGTATTTTTGCCAGGGAAACTCTACCAAACTAATACAGTAGATGGACAACAAATTTTAGTTTCCTTCTTCCCTCTCAAAATTCATATCTATAGTAAGATTTTCTCATTAGGCTAGATTCTCTAGAGAAGCAAACCCAGGAATGGATTTCATTCCACTCTGATTGGCTACTCATATCCCCTCCCACCCCACTATGGATTTGATTACATTGTCTTAGGTCACATCACAGGGAATTACTAAGTTTTAATCGCCAAGCCACTGAGAATCTTGCCCAGCCAAGTTAACATGAAATCTAATGATCACAGTGGTTAAATGTAATTGAAATTGTTTTACAGGGAGACCTAATTTCCAAAGCATGTCTTTAAAGCAGAGGTTCTCAAACTCTACCGAGTGTATCATAGGTTACTGAGCCCTGCTCCTAGCGTTTTTGATTAAGGAGCTTTGGGGAAAAAAGCCTAAAAATTGGACTTGATGGTGTGAGTTGCAATCATTGGTCTGGGTGGTTTATTCATATAAGTAAACAGTAAACCAAAAGCTAAATACAGAGTACGTGAGCAAAATGAAGACAGGAGATATTAAATCTCTGTGAGAAGAGCGAATGAATACAATGAAAGAGAGTTGAGTGATTACCCTCATGAAGACAAGGATATGCTCTGTGAAACACTTCTACTTTAATTATTATGGATTTTTTTTTTTCAAATCTGACCTTTACTGAAGGGTGAAACCAAAGAAATGATCCAGCACAGGGTCTCAGTGAGATGCTAGGACTGATGTACCTTGCTCCCCTTTGCTTTCATCTTGTAATAATTGTTAGAATCCCTGATCAATTTACAGCCCTCTGCTATTCTCCGTTAGATATTAGAAATAAACCCTTTGAAGGACAGCACTTGTTAATAAGACCTACACCAGGAATATGGACAGGCCCCTTCCAAACAAATAGAACAGTCTTGAGAAAGATTGCCTATCTGCATTACTAATAGCTCCAGAAGAGCCTCTCCATTCTCATTAACTTTGATTCCCTCCTGAAAACCCTCTTTTCCTTACCTATATATATATAAAAAAAACCCTAACTTGTCACTCAAAGAGAAAGGCTTCATGGAAGTGGATTTACCCTGCCTCCTGGAATACCAGCATTCAAAAATCCTCTCACTCACTCTTCAAGCAATCTACTTCATTGGCCTACTTTCCACAGACTCGCCAGAGGTGCCTCTACAGAAGCTCAAGAAATTCCCTGTGGATTTTCTAACTCTATGTGAATGAAATTTTAATATAGATTGGGTCCACGATTCCCAAATCTAAAGAGATCTAGATAGTGATTGCTTTTCACAAATTCCAAGCAGGTCAGTTATCTGAGCAATCAGATACTCTCTCCTATTTATAATAATGGTTCAAGTAATCAGTCGGGCTGATCATGGAAGAAAAAACGTGCTCTCACTCTGGACGTGATTACCACTTGCATCTTCGATGGATGTTTTAATGCCAACTCTGGAGTTCCACCTTGGGCCATTAGCTATCGAGGTTCCCTGGCTGGGATTTGCTTTTTATTTGCATTCTGCAGCTTATATTCAAGTAATACAACTCAGAATTGACACGTTGTAAGTGGGTCTTATTTGAGGCCTCGGTCTATGTGAAAGTTGAAGAAAATAAATCATTACACAATTTATTTGAATGAAAAGTAGGGCTTGCACACAATACACTGCATTGCAAACAACCAAACAATTGACAGGAAGTCATCCTGGCCTCCCTCTTCCTTGCTTATGAAATTAATGTCTGTTCAATGGACGCATTCAATTTTTAAATATTTTTCACAAGATTTCTTGTAATTAGAAACTCACTGAAAAAAATTTTAATAAGGAACAGATGTAGAAACAAGAGTTATATATGACCAACAGGAGAAAAATAAATTAACTAGTATAAAACATTTTAAGATTATGAATGGAAAATGCACTAACAATTGATTTCAAACTGTTTCAATCACCAAGCAGAGCAAACACATAATATTAATGGGAATATTTATATAAAAATTATAATTGTCCAATCATCAAATGCTTAAAAAGTGCATAAATCCTTCCAATCCTATTGTGTGCCGATTCAATTCACATGGAACTCTGATTGTTGTGCTTCCCCTTCCCCAAATCCTGGCAGTCTTTTTGTAAGAGTCCGATCCACAAAGTCAAATGCTATCTCATTTTATCAACGTACTACCGCCAAATGTCCATTCAGTACAATGGCGAGTTGAGCCACTCCTAATATTAACTCATCTATAGTTTTAACTCGCATCCTCTTTTCGTGTCACAAATTTTATCCCACCATCTTGAAAAACACATGCAAGGTCTGTGAGTACTTAGTTTAATTTGTGGTTCTAACCCCTACATTTCACATTCCAGGGAAACATCTGTCCTACTAATCATTGCTACTTTCATTCCAACAGACAATGCTTTCAAATACTGATTATAATGAGAAGATGGTGTGGGCTTCCAGTGCCTATCAAGCAAGAGCAATGAGCACCCAGATTACATCAGAAGTGCTGCGACTAAAGACGCTTAGACAGACTCTGTGTTGATAGGGTAATTAGTAAATGGAGTAAATTGCAATGCAGAGGCCTTAACAAGTACTTTTATAAATAGTTTCTTTTCAACAAAAGAGATCTTGTAGTAAGGGGACGGGGGGTGGGCTGGGAGATTCCTTACTTCTAGTAATTTCCAAAATCAATTGCCTTGAATTCTATTATAAGAATACTTTTGAAGGTTCACTCTGAAGAAATATACATATAATTTGAAGTAATTTTTCAAACTGAAAGTCATACCTGATCTGGTGGCTTCTTCTTCACGCTGTGCAACGAGAATCAATCGATTGATGCCATGAGACAGCTACCTGGGGCAACCTAAAATGAAAATGGCATTTTGAAATTACAAAAAGAAACCTGCAAATGTCAATAAAGAGAGCCTTATAATAAGATGATTTTCAGTCAATCAACAACAAAGCTGTGTAAACACTGTGCACCGAGTCCAGTTTTATGTCAGCATGGACATTAAAAAGGAGAATCTAGCCTAATGCTGATAAGCATATGTGAAATCAGCAGATGGGACAGTGAAAAATGAAGGGAGGGATACAATGATAATTTTCTTGGGTGATTTTTAAAAATTTAATTAATTATAGAATATAAAATGCACAAATATGAGATACACACCATTTCTCAAAAATTTCTTTAAAATTGAAGAAGGAACAATGAACAAGGTTTAAAAGAGCCTGGACAGAAAAGATTTCCTAGATTATAAATTATTTCTGAAGACCTTTCTGAAACTACCCAGATCTCAAAACCAAAATTCTAATTATAGAGAAGAACAAATGACTCTTTCTAGGTAAACAGTAAAATTTTCCATGTATATACATATAATACATATAAATATATAGTACTCATAACATGTGTGGACACATATATAAACATGTATGTGTGTGTGTGTGTGTATAGTTCAGTGAATTATATCAGTCCACCAAATAACTCTGCAGGTCTGTGCAAATATAAGAGGATTGGATAGCTTACTACTCATGAAAATAAGGTACAGGATATGCTTGAATTGTGGGACCATGCAAATAAGGTATGGATTAACTAAGAATTAATTGGCCAGTTTTGCCAGCCCACTAGGCTTAAAGCCAGAGGGAGAAAGATGATTTCACTCCTCTTAAGGAGGAAGAGCCAGAAGGGGCGCATGCCTTTCCAACCGAAACAGGCTCCTCGACCTGAATGTCCTCCACTAACACAGAGAGCTGAATGTAACACAGGCAGAGGAGGTGGTGAGACAGCGAAATGTCCAGTGTCGGACGTGGCGGAGGCAGTCCATTCAGGAGGCTGCCATGAGGCAGAACCGTGAGTTCCTTCTTCATGGAGCAAGGAAGCTGAGTGTCTTTACGCAGGAGGGTTGCTGGGGGAGGAGGATGTCTTCAGGCACTTACTGGGGTGCTAGGTTTGCCAATCCACTGAGCTAAGCTGAGCATATTTGGGGCCAGGCTTCTTTGACCAGCAGGGTGCTTCTGGGCACATAATCAGCAAAAAGAAAGGGTCTTTGTGTCACCTGTCTGAGCAGGGCTGGCCCCCAAGGCTTCAGAGCTGAGAGCCATAGCTCCTGAGAGAGACCTGTCTGTAGGCACATTCAAGATACTGATCAAAGAACTCTATCCTAACCATTCCTGATTCTAATTGTGACTGGTTTCTTCCCTAATAAACCTGATACCTGTGAGTATTGTCTGACAGCTCTGCGTGGCCCCTGCAACAAATGATCAAACATGCAGCGTAGACAGTGTTGTGGAAGGGATAGTGGCAGAACCAGCAAAAAGACGATGGAAGGAGTCACGTCTGATCACTACCTCATATGAATTCCTTGCACAATGGGTTGCTAACCACAAGGGCAGCGTTGGAAACTACTAGAGTCTCCAAGGGAGAAAGAGGAGGCTTTCTATTCTTGGAAAGAGGGACAGTTCTACCTTGTCCTAAGGGTTGCTAAGCATCAGAACTGACTTGATGGCAGTGGATTGGGGGCAGGGGGGAGGCAGGAACTTGTCAATTTGTTTTTGGGTACCCTTTCTGTTGTCAGAGGAGTGCAGAAGCCACCTTCGTGCATGTTTCCACAAGTATATGGTATCATGCATGTGCTAGTTAGTTAAGATGCAAAGTTAAGGAAATCCTTTATGCTGATTGAGAGCTCCCATTCTAGTAG